CTGGGGAATTTATTGGACTTTTACCTGTGTCCCTATACTTCAAGATATGTCATCACTTTCTTTATTAACTTTCTGCTGTCAGATGCATAAGGTGTTCGACTCAACCCCAAATTATTCAACTCCTGCAACCTGTATTTTCCAAGTTTGTAAATCTGCTTGCTGTCACCTCTGAACAGTGAGCTTTTAAGACTTTCTAGTATTTTTTCCCAGACGCTGCTGTTGATGATTTATCCTAGTCTCCTAAAATCAAAACTTTTAACCTGTCCAAAATGGAGTGGCTTTAGGAAAAAAAAAAAAAAAAGCCCCAGCCTGTGTTTCAGCATAGCTTCCAAAAATCTTGTATAAGCTTTTGCTACATCTTCAGAGCATGTGATGTCTCTGTGCAAAGACCACACACAATTGCACTCCCCAAATGGCACTGCTCACTGGCAGGGCTGAGGCTCTCAGGCTGGAATTGTTTCCCACTCCTACTCTGGTCAACACTGCTCTGGTTTTTGTAGTGTATTTCATGATTCTGTAGAACAGCCATCTTGATTTCTAACATGATCTTCTGCTTTTCCCAGTGTAAATTAATTTGTCTTTTCCAACCTCTAATTACATAGCTCAGATGCATGCATTGTATATATGATGAGATTGAGCAAATCATATTTCCAGGCATCCTTTCTGTGATTTTGTTTGTTTTAAGCTTTTTTTATTTTATTTTAAATCATATCAAGATATCTGCTACATCTTATGACACTTTTATATGTACACACACACATACACACACACACACACACACACACACACACACACACATATATATATACACACATATATATGCAAACACACAGGGTACACTTTGAGAGAAAAAGGGCTCTATAAACTATGCTGGATTATTTTATTTTTCATATGAAAAGAAAAATGGGGAGTCTGTCTTCAAAATTCATAAAAGTGTGTGTTTGTTTATCCTAAAGCCTGGAGAGGCTCATTCTGTGTCATTCCTGTCTCTTGAGTAAAAATATTCGTCATTCTTAGGGCAAAAAAGTATTATTGACTTGTGTGATTAGAAAAAGCTCTTTCAGAGTCAGTTTAGTTGATAAAGTACAGAAATTCTTAAATGGCTGGAGGCAAAAAAAGTAAAAGAAACCAGTCAAGCACAACTTATTTTGCATTCTTGATGTGTGTGTAGGTATTAGAAATCAAACTCTGTGGAAGGTATTAGAAATCAAACTCTGTGGACTACATAGAAATAATTACAATTTGTGTGTATAAATACTGCATACAGGTTGCAAGCAAATTCCAAAGGAAGGGCTTATTCAGGAGTGCAAATCATTGCTAGAAGTGATCATTGTCTTTTGGGTTTATCTCAACATGGCTGTTGAAAGCCACGTGCCAATTTGTGCACACATGAAGGGGGAAGTTAGGTTTGCATTTCTTATGTTTGGGAGGGGCTGGTGGGGGTTTTTTTCAAGTAAGGAAAGTTGTATTCATCCTCTAATTAATTTAAGTGTTTAATGATAAGAAATGTTATATTTTTCTTGCATAACATAGTCTAAAAGAACCAGGCACCATTTGTGTTGGACTCACAACATGGCATTTTTGAAGTGCTTGGCACTAAAGAGGATGATTTCCCATTCTTTGTTCAAAAAACCTTTAGGGCAAAATACATTTAGAGCTGTGGATTTTAGCATTCACCATTTAAGGATGATGCTTGTTAATATTATGTACTTTTTCAGAAATATTTTTTTTCTGGCTATCACAGCATTGTTTAAGACTGAGATAATTGCTCTATCGAATATTCCTGCCCTCTGTCAGTACACAGAAAATAATGATGTAAATGCATTCACCCTTCTGCTTCTCACAGTTTAGCTGTAATTTTAAAACATAATTTTATGCATCTCTTTGGGAATTTCATTTAGAAGAGGCAGCACCACTCAGTCTTTGGCAGGACTTGGGACTGCACCATACTAAACATTGTCCATACAAAACAACTGAAAGGTTGGCATAATCCCCAAATAATTGACATTGTTAAGATTCTGTGGAAATAACACCATTACTGGCAACAGGAACACCCTTTAGTTTGTGTATTGGTGTTAATTCATGCATCTGCACTACAGTATATCTTACAAACCTGACCTTTTCACATAACTGTAGTAGCTTCTTCAATGACTTGCATTGTAACTAGGCTGGGAAGATCCATGCAGCACCATAGCACTAAAAGCATGAATCTGCCACATAGATGAATGTTTTAACTGGAAGGAAAACATCAGAGTTGTGGGGAAACCTGAAAAATGTTAGAAAGCAATTACATCAAGCTTGTAATTAGCTGTACTGTGGGCTCATGCTACATTTTTCCTAGTCCCAGGTGCTTTCAGTTGCAAACCAAGTGAAGAGACATGTCTTCATTGAGAAGTCTTTATTTTCTCTATGTAATAATATTTTTCTTTGACTGTCTTGACCTTCCAGCTAAAAATCAAGTTTCACTGTCATCAGTGAATTTTCTGAGTAGAATGAGGATATGAAGAGGATAAAGGTGTCAATTTATGTTTGCAAACTTACTGTGAGATTATGTTATCTCCGTCATATCTCTTTGTTCAACTTATGTTGTTATTTTAGCCCAAAAAAGGCCAAAGATCATCAACGAAAGTGCATGTAGAGTAAAGCTACTCCTGTAAAATTGATGATCCGTCCAATTATTTATCTATAGAGGCTGCTGGGAAGAAACGCAACTATCTCAGTTCTCAGACCCCTCTGCTAGGTTGAACTTCATGGCTGAAGGTTTAATCCCTAAGTGTCATATCAACAATTCATTCTGTGATATTCTGGCTGACATGCTCTCCTTCCTTATTTATTGATGTCTTCAGTCATCGACAATGAGAGGAAAATACACTATTCGTCAAAGTGACGGTGTTTTACCCTCACTTACAGTTGATGCTGCTGTCACATTGATGGTTGGAAAATAAACTCAATCATTATAAAAAGCTAAGAGTGTGAACTTGCCAGTGACAGGAAGAAGATGAAAAAAAAATATATACAAACCCACAGTAACTTGCTTAAAAATTGGTGTAATAAAAAAAAACCTGTTCCCTACAAAGATATTTTTGAGGTTTGTTCATGAGATACCAAACCATTTTAGCCATGTGTTTTATACTTATTCCTTTGAAGGAAGATCTGTACCTCATAGTCCTTTATGTTTGCAAACATACATGTAATTTTTAGCACTAAATACACTTTTTATCATTTCACCTCATGCTACTAGGTTGGCAATTTGTTGCTTTTTTTCCCCCTCTCTTTTAAGAGATTTTGCTTTGTTTTTGTTTTTTTTTTCTCCCCTGGATTATATTGAACACATATTTCTGTTTGTGCATTACAGTATTTTGAGTGCTTTAATGAGGAAAAGCTCAGTATAGTTCCATCCTGTAAGTCCTTTGACATGCAAACATAAGCAAGGCTCTTGTGAATCACTTTCTGAGGCTGCCATTTGTGTAACTGCACTGCACTGTGCAGCCTTTTAAACTCCAAACCCATGTATCTTACCACATTTCACCTTTGGGAGGCATTGTATATACAGCTAAAAGTAAAGAGCAGCGAGCCAAGAGGGACAAGATAGCATAATGAGGATGTCAATTTGTGGTCAGAGGAAATATTTATCTTACTTGTACTATACTTGGCAACTGATAGAGAAATATATATGTAATGAATTTCCTCAGACTTTATCTGGCAGACTGTGTACCTTGTGTTAAATGGATTTAAAAATAACATTGCTTGTCTCAAACTTTTAAAGTTTGAGGTGATTCTGCTTTGGATTGTTCCTTGAAAATAGACTGTATCTATTTTAAAAAAATCATAATCATGTTCACTAACATATTGGTGATTTTTTAATGATCCATTTCTGAAGGCTCCTTGAATAATGGCATTTAGGATCCCACTCGCTCACCAGAACAAAAGCAAGGCACTTTTTCTGTTGTTTAGGGGGGGAAAAGCCATGTTTTTGTAGTTTTACTGTTTTGGTTCGTATCTCTGGTAAGCCTGCTAAGTACCCTAAATGAATGTGCACAGAAATGCTGGTTGTCTCACACGTGCTGTGTGTCCTGAGGCAAAGCTACAGCTGCTTCAGCTCCTTCTGCCTGCTTCCCCATCTGTAAAATGGGAATGATTTAACTTATTTTTCTCCTTCAGGGAAATACAGGAAGGGTTTCTTAATATTTCTATAGAGCTTTGAAGATTAAAATCTCTTCTTTATACTTGCTGCTAATATTTCAGTGTTAGAGAAGCATTTGATTGAAGCTGTTTGAAGAGTAAAGTTTTGGCATCTTCTGTTGTCTTTGTACCATATCTTGAGGCCTCTCCACTATAATTTTGCAACCTTTGGTTCAGCGTGAGCTGCGGAAGCAAGCAAGCCCTGTGTAAACAAACGGTGAGGACTATAAATTAATGTCTCTGTCTGCTGTTGAAAACATCAGGAGATTACAGCCTATCTCTAAGCCAGCCAGGAACAGTCCATGGTGGAGCAAAGCAGGCACCAGTAACTGGGCTGAGCCTGAAAAAGCTTTCATTTAAGCATCAATGGTAAATGCTGAGAGGCACTGAAAGAGGTTTTCTTCTAATATGAGTTCTGTGTCTTTAGATGTACAAGGATGGCTGGTGTTTTAGCAAAGCCTTACTGACTTCCTTGGGCTTAAGGAATAAATGGGAAGTATGAGCACCCAGCATCTACAGCAAGTCTGAAAGTCTTCTTGCCTTTGTTTCACAGATCAGAGGTCAGCATCAATTCCCTGGGTGTAGACAATCTCAAGAGGCTGCAGAGGGGCAGTTTCTGGTTTGGTTTGCTTCTTCAGTTTTATGTTGTTTGAAAAACTTAAAATTTAATACAATTATGTATTCCTCTTTGCAGTTAGGAGGAGTGATTAGGCTACCACATGTGTTAAGTGCTCTTGTTAGAATCTAACTTGGCATTTTAAGGTCTTGCAGTCACAAGCTGTATTTTTCATGATTTACATTTTCGTTTTTTAATGCAGAGCAGATTGGACAGGAGATGCTTGAAAACCTCAGCCATGACAGAGAGAAGATCCAGCGTGCTCGGGAAAGGGTAAGTTTGATAATAAGTAATTGCTGATTCTGCATTTTATTTGCATTGGGCAAGTTCTTTGTGCATGCAAAAACAATCCAGATGAGATATAATCACCATCTGCAGTGGAGAACTTACAAAGTGTCTTACATAGGCCATATCCTGCCAAGTCTCTCTGATGGGGAGTCACCCTGTAGTCACCAAATCTGCTGCTGGGAGCAAATTTTCTGTCACTATCACAGTTAGGTCAGTGTTCTGTCCTTTGAAGGGTTTGTTATACTGTCCATTCCAATGACTACGTGGGCTTCCTATGAAACAGTTCAGTATCATAAGTGAGCTTCTAATAGTTGAGCAACCTTACTCTTTGTAGCTGCAGGTGCAAACAACAGCCCCTCGGGCAGGTCTGTGTGAGGAGCAGGTACTGCTGCTCTGTCTCTGCAGCCAAGGCAACATATCTGTGATCTGTGTCACTTCTGGCTCCTGTGGCTTCCATTGGGATCAGCTCTACTGTGCAGAGTTAATGGAGATGCTCAGAAGCCCATCCCATCCAGTGTGTACAAGTGCTCTGACCTTCCATGTGGGAGCCCAGCCTCTCTGTCTCTGGTTTCTGCTCACAGAACCAGGACTTTCTGTCCATGACCTGTTGTTCAGATACTTTCCCAAGTGTCCAATTTTAACAAAGCCAGGCTCTCCCACACATCTCTTAACTGACCAGTGGCATTTCAGAGAAACTCCTTTACCTGTCACGGGGAGTTTCTTCACTTGGATAGCTTTAATTAGTAAAGCTTCCTATAACAGCATTAATGTGGCATTTTCTGCCAGCTGTACCAGTTGCTTTCTGAAGTGCTGGGCATTAGCTACTTTAAAACACTAAATATAGCTAGGTCACTAAATGTAACTAAGAATTGTGAGGATTGACCAAGTTTTGTTCTGGCAATTTGGTGTCATATTTCACTTCCACTTCTTATATCCCCAGTGACTGCTGAGTCTGAAATGCTTTTCTGTTTCTAGCTGGACAAATAAAATGTAGGCAATAGAGATAAATGCCATGTATTCCTTTCTGCTCATCCTGTATATCCCAGGGATGTAGTTCTGATCACTCAATGTGTTCATGGTTCCTAGCATAACTTTTTCTTTTCATTTCTTTCTACCTGAGGAGCAAATTTCTTTGAAGGCAAAACCTGTAAGATGCAAAGAGCAAGATTAAAAATAAGAAGGATATTCTAGGAAAGTGTAGTACATGCATACTCCACCAAAATGCAGCAAAAAAACCTCTTGTCATAATGGAAGATCTCAAACTCCAAGATTTTTATCAGGAGCCACTTAAATATTTAAAAATACTTAAAATATTTTCTTCAGGGAATTCAGAAAAGTTCTTCAGTGGAGCCACATGGCTCTACCTGTTCCAGCTGTCTGTGTACGCTCAGATGAACATTCAGGGGAGATCTTAGATAATTTAGCTAGTTTTTCATTTTCTAGAGATTTTGAAAGACCAGAACAGAGGGTGCTTTATAAATGCATGATAGCTGTACATTAAATATGTGGAGTTATTATCTTATCAACCAGGGAATAAACTTGTTTTCTGGAATGAAATAGTTACCATGAGTATAATGGTCAGCTTTAATAGTTCAATGTTGAGAAAACTAGGAAAATTATTTTTTATAAGCAAAATATAAATAAGTTAATGTCTCAATGGTCTGGTTAAATTTACATATATAAATTTTCCTGTCTGTAGAGTAAAACTCATATTTTCTTCTGAAGGCAAAGAGAAGGGATAAAAGCTCTGCTACAAGTCAAATAGGTTAACTGGATTATACAGGACATTAAAAGATGCAATATCTTTTAGGAAAACCTCCAAATTTGTCTAAGGCAGACAAGATATCAATGTCAGCATCTTGTTCATCTTCCTGTTTTCTCATTATTATTCTTAATATTATCTTTAAAAACCATATAGATTCACCATTGCTAATATCAAGGCCTGTTTCAAAATGTTTTCACTACAGCAGTTCTGTGAAACACATGCTGGTTAAGAGGTTCACATTCCACCAGTTCCATTCCACAATTCTGTGGTGTGCTGGTATTGGTAAAGAAATGGTGGAAGAACTGCAATCAGATAATTCAGTTTTAAATGAAAACAAACTTACAGTTTGAAACTCTTCATGTGGTTTTTTTTTTTCCTTCTGCCAGAGGAGGAAGAAAAGGTGTTTTCTTAGCATTCTCTTGGGAGGTAGCTAGAGATCTTCCAACTATGTGTGTACGTGTTTGTTTCTTTTTTAATGTTTCTTTTGCTTATTTTGTGGGTTTTTTAATACCGTAAAAACATGAGGTCATCTTGCTTAGAGGAGTTTGTCAAACCCCTAAGATTCAGCTTCCCCTTCCTAACTATCAGCACTGATTCTAGCTGTCAGGTAGAATCCTGCAGCAAGAGAGGAAAGTTAGGATCAAACATTTAATGGTAAAAAGGAGAGCGCTGCTTTTCTGTGAAAAGGGAGGAGAAGCCCCAAGTGTTAAATGCATCTTTATGAATAATAAAAGACCAATGTAAAGCATACATTTGTACTTCAGATTCCCTTCTAGCATAGATAAGAACTTGGCTTTTTAATGAGCCTTTTAAAAATTATTGTGACGTTTTTTCTGCTGTTACTTGTGTCAAACCGGGCTAAACTGCTTTTCTGGAGCTTGAATTGTCTAGATGAATCAGGAAAATATGAGAGAATGGCCTCCCTGGAATATAGTACTCATCTTTGTTCCATCATAGCACATAATTACAGAGATCTGAGAGTTAGTGCAAGCCTTCCCACTGAATATGATATTGCTAAGAACAAGACTTGATTGGTGTTATCCAGTCCCAGCTTCTACTTGGTATTTTCTTAATAGCTTTTAGAAGAATAAGGAGGAAATTTATGCAAAAAAGGTTATGTGACACTGATTGTCACATCACCTACTGATTTCAGTAATAAGCGTTAAATCTGGCAGTAAATATTTACAGTATTGTGCTCCAGAATAGAGACTGGGTTTAATATTGCTGCTGTTCAAATATTCAAGATATAATAGTGGTTTGTTATGGTGAAGGTGATTTGTTATTGGAAGACTGCCACTCTCCTTGGCAGTGTTACTGTTTTGATGGATTTGTAACACAGGATGCATTTTGTCTACTACAACAAAGTTTTTTTCAGTAAGAAGTCAATGACTCAGGTAATCCTTTCAATCTGGTTTGATAACGAAGAGGTAAATATTCAGCTTTCACAAGGAGAAGAATGTTTTTATGTATGTACACACAGCCGTGTTTTGGGGCGTGTTAGAAACAGTGGTCCCTGCTATTTCATAGCTGAAATAGTCATAATCATTACATTATCTTTTTACTGTAGATTTTGATGTTCTGCTGGTTCCAAGATGTCTAAAATGTCAAAAGATGTCTCTCTTCTAGCTGCCAGTGTCAAAAGAGGTGATAGGAAAGTAACTCCATTCTTCCCATTATCTTCTGATTTCTAGATTTCCTTTTTTGGGACACTAATAAACACAAAAAGAGAGGGGACATTTGAATCCCTTTCAAAAAGCAATAGAAATAAACATGAAGTTAATTTGCTTCATAACCTTTCATCTACTCTATTCATTTTTTACCTATTTTTTAGAGCTGTAGGACAAGACAGCTGATTAGGTGTAGCTGTAAACTGTGGGTTTCGTTTGTCCTAATAAACTACAAAAATGGTCGTTTCAGTGAGTGATAGTTCCTTACATTAAAAAACCCACCATATCTACTGTACAGCTATTCCTTCTGTACATGTATATATAATATTCACAAAGCATTTGAGCACCCAGGCCAGAGGTGGCTGCTGTAAGGTCAGTGCAAGTTTTATATTTAAGGGGCAGTATAGACATATTTATTTTACACAGAATTGCTAAAGTGATATATTTTGTATTTCTGTTTCTTTCTTTAAACTACAATCTTTTAAAAACAGTGAAAGAAAGATATGTCCTTCTTTTCATAAAGCATCAGGAACATGGCTGTCTCTTCATCCCTTGATCCTTTCACCAGTGTGCACAAACAATACACGTGCATGTGGGACTTATGGATTCCAATGTATAGAGCTTCTACCTGCAACCCTTTATTTGTAAAGCTTTTGCTCTTTATCCTGACTCACCTTTGTTGCCTCAATGACTTCCCTTGCCTGGGTTTCATATGTATGTAAGTGAAAACAAGACAAGGTATTTTTAAATTTCAGAGCTTTGGTGTCTTTATGAGCCTGTTGTGTGCTAACCCTGAAGCTGACTCAGATGACTGTGAAACCCTGTCCTTTGTACAGACTGGGCTACAGCTGCCTTTTACCTTTAATGGGACTCTTTTCTCCCCAGCTTAGAGAAACAGATGCAAACCTGGGGAAGAGTTCCAGGATTTTGACGGGAATGTTGCGAAGGTAAGGCCAAGGTAGGGACATTTCTGCTCTTTCTTTTTTTCTTCTCTCCCCCCATGCCTTTATTTTCAATTTTACTTCAATCTCAACATGTTGCTGTTGTCCCTGACTTTTTTTTACCCAGGCTGCTATGTACAATGTCTTTAGATGATAGAAGGCTTTGTCATGCCTATGGAAAGAGTTTTCTGAACCTGAAGGACAGTCCTTGTGTAATGATTTCTCATCTTTGTTTGGGGGGGTTTGGATGAAATGTTCTAAAATTAAGGTTTTTTGATGATGATTTTCTGTGCTTCCTATTCTTCAGTGATTTCTGTGTTTTGAGGGGGTTTTTTGCCTGTTAAAATGAGAAAGTTGGTAAATGTTTTGGGGCAGCATAAATTCATGTGCAGAGAAAAGGTTAAAATTATCAATTCTGCCTAAATAAATGGGGCAGATACACTGTCAACCCTTGTGGTTTTAGCATGTTTTTTCCACGCTTTCAATGTTATGAAAATTGTCCGTGGGATCAAAATGAGGTGATATGAAAAGGAAAATTGTGGAATGTCCTAAAACTCTGTGTGGGACTGAAGGGAGGGAGTTATCCACTGATTATTTCTCCCCTTAAATTTCCATCAGTGCATTCTCAGACAGATTTTTTTCAATTAGTGGCACCTCTGGTTATGTGTTCTTTACCCAGTGAAACACCACCTGAGCTTCTCTGTGATGTCTGTATTTCTGTACATATTCAGTTTCCTAAAGAAGAAAAGCATCCCTCTAATAAGCAGTGCTGGGTGCTAAGAAAGCACAGTTTTAAAGGAGTTTAGTGCATCCTCTGAAGAGTTCAGTCTGAAATTACCCTTGCCACAGGCTTTTATGTTGTGTGTTTGCTTAATGCACTTTGCTTATTTTAAAAAGGAAAGAAAGAGAAGAAAATTTTAGCAGAGTTGCTGCTTTGTCACTTGGCTTAGGATACGTGGAAACTGGAATTTTTATAATTTGTTCTTTAGCACAAGCTTTATTTCTCCATAAGTCTCCTCAGAAAAATACCTTTGTTAGTTCCTTGTATACCAAATTGACAAAGGTTAAAGTGACTGAACCTGATGCCTTCATTCCACAGATCTTTTACAATTCCAACTCCAAAATATAACATATAAAATTCTCTGATTAAGAATAATATGTAAATGACACAAGCTAAATTCAAAATCCATGGAGGAAGGAAGTGGCAATTGAAAGGGATGGTTCAGTGGCTGTAGACAATCAAAATAAACTATAAAAAAAATGAAGGAAAAGAAAAGACACCAACCAAACCCAAGTCTCCCCCGGAAGGGCTCTGCGACATGAGCTGTAACGAATATTCTGCATATGTCTCCATTTTGTCAAATCTCATTAAAGGGGTTTCTTGCTTTATGTCAATTGAGCTGTCCAAAAATCATTCATCATTTTAGTGTAAAAAAAATCATGCAGTTATTTAAATAATATCATATTAATGTTAAAGTTCAGCTGTCATTTAATAGTATGGCTTAATCAGACATAGCATTTAGGAAAAATAGTTTTTTCGGGCTTTACTTGGCTTTCAGGTTGGCAGATTCAAATAAGGATTTATGGGTTTCTAAACCAACGTATTCTTTCCATGTTTATGCTTGAGGTACCCCAGCCTTTTTTGCAGCACCCTGTAGTCTGTTATTTTCAATAAAATAAAGTATCTTCTCATATTGTGTTTGAATACATTTGCAAGTAATTTGGAGAAGCTGAAACAAAAACATATGCTGTAACCTTTGACTTTGTTTTGTGTTTGGGAATCACAGTTAGGAGTCCTAGTTTATAAGTGTTCCGTAAGCCAAATGAAAAATATGATCTTTCTGAGATATACTTGGGCTCTTGTTTTCAGACAAAAGGATTATGTAGTTGAACACCATGATGGCATGTTTCTGTGTGTCAGAACGGCACTGGATTTCCTTTTTCTTCCACAAAAATGCTGAGCTGAGTCACCCATCTAGAAGAAAGTCAGGTTAGAATTTAAGCTCAGATCAGGTAAATGTGCCAAAAGCAATGCCAGCATAGAAGCAGCTTTCAGTAGACTATTCTCAGGATGTTGTTTAAAACCACGTAATTGATAGACCTACAGTGAATTTAATTTGTTTGTGACTGTTGGGTAGAAGGGTCTAGCATTATCCCAGCCTCAGCATCATCCCAATTTGTTTAGTTACAAGAATAATCATGAAGTACAGACCCCAAGAAATCAGCATGTATTAGATAAATACAACTGCAAGAAATATAATTAGCACAGATTGGCAGTTGTTTCCTAATTTCTGCATACTTCAATACACACCACACAATGTTTTACATAATTACTGGAACCAAGAAAATAAAACACTGGAGGACCATCTCCACATCAATATTATACAGAAAAGGTAATGATAAATTGAACATTGCTCAATGTAGTGGCTGTTCCCACAATATATATTTGCTGATATGCTTGAAGTCATATGCCATGCTAACAACTCTGCACTTCAAATTAATGCCTAACTCTTTCTAATTTTACTGTCTGGGAAAGGTAAAGCAGCATCTCTTTTGAATCTGGCTGAATATATTAAGAGATCATATATTTAGATAGCTAGAGGGCTAAATTACTGCCTTTGTATGACCTAAATTCCCTGGCCATGTGTTTGTGAATAAAGTGTTCTGGAGATGGGGAATAAAAGGAGAAACAGGTTTTGTAGGTGGCCATGTCTCACTAAGGAAATCAGTGGCATAATAGGGACAGGTCTTCCTATCCCAGTTTGCTGCTCCAGCAATAAGATACCCAGCCTTATGTATTATAATTTGTTGTCACACAAGATTTTGGGGCTGTGGGTAAGAGTATTTTTGTAATAAGTGTTTTTGAGTATTCTCACATACAAATGACCTACCTATACTTCATGACTTTTTTTTTTTTTTCTGTAGCAAATACTTAGGTTCTGTTAAGCTAATACATTCCTCTTATGGCATGGCATTACTAGAATCAGGGGGAATGGCTTCAAACTGAAAGAGAGCATGTTTAAATTAGATATTAGGAAGAAATTCTTTGTTGTGAGTGCAGTGATGGGACATGGGCATTCAGAAAATTAACTTAGAGTATTAATTAATTTTGGGGTTTAGATGAAGCGTGCAGTTTTTGTCTATGAGCTACTGGAATGGGTTGCCTCAGGTCTCTATGCCTTAGTCTGTACCCCAGTGTGAATTGGGGGGTGCACAGTCCTAGAAAGAAGTAGAAAAGAATGTGTTCTGGAATATCTTCAGGGTTTTGCCCATATCCTAAGCCAATAGCCTAGAAAAGCTTATAAGAAAAGAATTTGGAAAGTCTCCAAGCCACACACAGCCCAGTGGGAAACAAACAAACCTAAAAGTAACCAGATAAAAATTTCAGTGGATTTGAATCTTTTTTCAATTAGCAGATAAGTTCTGTCTACCCCCTTCGAATTGCGGGAAAATATTTTAGAAGAATGGCTGCTACACTCCAGAACAACTTTTTATCCTGTCTGGTCCACCAGGAAATTTTTGTGTTAAAAATAATCTTTTAATCTTCATATTTCAGTGTTCTGGATTGTTGTCAATGATGTTTTGAGAAGCTTATGAACACATCTGCATTTATAAAAGAGACTTTTAAAATTTGATTCCCAGCAGGAGAGAGGCACTACCTCTGTCTGATAGAAATGAGGCAGTAAGCGTTCAGTTCAGCTCTCAGGTAATAAGTTATGTGACTTTCCAACAGCTGCATGATCAATATGACTGCAGTCAGAAACGGAATGCGAGTTCTGGTGAAGCTTTTTCACTCTTTCCAGGAAAATTCTGGGAGTCCTGCTTCTTGCATCACTGCTAGTCAAAATTTGTTCTACTTTTTTAGACCTTGCAGTTTATTTTTCAACATTTCACAGAATTGTAGGACACCTTAGGTTGGAAGGGACCCCTTAGAGGTCATCTGATCCAACCTCCTGTTCAAAGCAAGTCTCATTAGAGTAGGTTGCTCAGACTCTACTCCAGTCACATTTCAAACATACAAGGCTGGAGATACCAATGTCTGTCTGAGCAATCTGTTCCAGTAGTAGCTGACATAAACAATTCCTTCAGGTATCTCACTGAAATTTCCCAGCATCCAACTTGTGTCCATTGGCTCTGGTCCTAAGCAGAAGTGATTTTCAGAATTGGCCTTCAGAATTTGGGCCTGGATTGCAGTTTTTTCTAGCAGTTCTCATACAGCTTCAGCAGTGATGATGTGGTCATTGGGCTGAGGGGACACTCTGTGCAGGCAGTTCTTGAAGCAGGGCACGGGGTGCTCTGCCTCACCCACTGACCTGGCCCTGGCCATTCAGCAGTGTATGCACAGGACTTCTTTATTGCTTTCTCTGGCTCGTAGAGATGTGCAAAGTTAAGAATGTCTGTTCTGCCTCCTTGGCTACAAAGCCCACATTTCCATATGTTTAGAACAACAGCAGGGACAGTCATGTCCCTGTGGTGACACAAACCCAAACAAAGCGTGTTACCACTGCCTTTTTCCCTATTTCCCTACCAATCTCTGTTTCCATCCCCAAAAGTCCATGACAAAAAACCCGAATTTCTTCTGAGCTAAAGCCTGTTTCAGTCATACTTGGCCATGGCTGTTGAGTCTCTGCAGTTTTCTGAAGGCAGGTCTTTGTATCACGGATCCAGAGTGAGGTTTAACATGCAGCTACGTTTGCTTTGTTTTCATGCTAATAGAGGAGTTCCTCTTTCCAGGATATTTGGTCTCAAGCCAAAAGGAGTTTGAGTATGAATTGTTTCAGCAACTTTTTTGTACATATATTTCTATTTTTACTTCAAGATGTATTTCTACACTGAAAAATGATTGAAATGGTAAATCCTCAAGCAAAATGTCTGCTCCATGTTGAATATTTACAGCTGCAGCTGTTTACTTCAGTAATTTAGACCTTGATTCAGGAGCACCTTTAAGCATCTGGTTAACTTAAACCAGAGGAGCAATTCCCTTAACTTGAGGGAAACTGAATAAG